ATTTCCTTTTAACTTGTTTTGAGGAACAAAATTCATAATAAAAGATACCGTAGAATATAATTATACGTGTATATGATTTCATAAATTTGATTAGACCTTCAGTTATTTTACAAGTACAAAGTGTTTTATTTTTTAACGCACTATTTTTTAACTCTGCGAAACTACGTCATCACGCATCGATTATACGATAATCATTGTTGAGCGTCAATGCGTAAACAATAGCACACTGTCTAAACCACTACTTTCTAGATAATTATAGATAACAAGAGAGGGAGAGAGAGCGAAAAGCAACTGCAATTTATTCTTTATCGTTGACACATTTCGATGCATATCGTGACGCTTCGATACCTCTGCTATGTAGCAGAAATCTGTTTTATAACAGATTATTAGTTACGTTTCGAAACGTGATCGTTCAACGCACTTATAGAGTTCGCTCTAATTTAATTTTTAATTTTAATATTGCCATATTAATTTTATGCACGTAAATTACAGTTGAGTATAAAAAGCGTTTTTTGTTACCGTTATGATTTTTTCTCTCATTTAGGAATTGAAAATTGAAACAATACAGTTGGAAAATTTGTATTTTCTTTAAAAACTGTCTCCATTAAAATTTTTGTGTTAAATATTTAACGTACATTGTTGTTGTGTTAATTGAACTTAAATATTAAATTATAAAAACAATTATTAAAACTGAAAAAATAACACAATGTGCATCTATTTTCAACTTTACACAATATATATGTTCTGTTTTATTAGTGACAAGATTTGTTACAAATTAGAGGAAAAAATGTTGATTTTTTATTTTAATATAAGTGAGGATGATAGAAATCTAAAATTAATATATTTTTAGTTAATTTTACATTAAAATTATGTTAATTTTACACAAAATTTATTTTAAATTACTTGAAGCTTTACATTTATTTTGTGTTAAAATATTAACACAATATTCGTGTCTCCATTCAACATATCCATATATGTTTAGGTTAAGTTAGTATTATGTTAAACTGTTAAATTAACACAAAAATTTCTGATGTGGACCGTTTTGGGACATGTAATATCAATTAAATTTAACACAAATTTTTCAACTATGAAAATTTCATTCTTTAGAAAGAAAGATAATCAATAATTTAAAAATTCATAAATCTACATTTCTCGTTTTCTTGTTGATAGATTTCATATAACTGTTGTGCATAAGAAAGGCATAATAATTATATAAATTGTTGTAATATTATATTTAATATTATGATATATCACCGCTAATATATTGTATTAAATAAATAGATTAAAAAAGAAAAAAATAATTATTAATATACTTATAATTTTAATGTCGGATTTTTTACTTGCTATCTCAGTTGTTGCAAAAAAAAAAAAAAAGAAAAAAAAACATACGATCAATGTCAAAGAAGCGTCTCGTTAAAAAAATTACGATATTAATGTCTCGTTCATTAATGATTCAATCGCGAGTGTCCTCTCTTTTTATAAAAGAAAATCGTTTTTTTTAATCTTTTCTAGATTAAGTCACACATTATTTTCACCAAATGTCACGTATTGAATTCTTGACGAGTAGTTTTAATACAAATGTCTCGGAATCAAATGTATGCAATGTTATGACAATGTTTCACCGCGATAATCGAGATATGAAACGCTCGATAATTACACGTTGCTATTTCTCAGAGACCGAATAAATCGACACAATGTATAAACTGTAGTTTTATTCGAACGAGCAAAGACTTTGCAAACTTTTATTACTTACATTCGATCAATCGCGATTGCATTTGTCTTTATGTTTTTTTTTTTTTATCGAAGTTGAATCAATAAATTCCCTCAGTATTTTTCGATCAGTATTTAACCTTTTTAACGACCAAATTAACACCAGATCAGACCTTTCTATCGGTCTGCTTTTTAGAAGCAAGATTTTCCGATAAATAGCAAGACGGGCGTCTCTACATTTCTCGCATTAAAAATGCAGCGTGCGTATTCATATTTCAGACGATAAAAGTGCACGTGAATTTTAACGTCAACATTCATAATAGGACAGCCACGTTTTTTCAAGCTAAAATATGGAATGTGTGCGAATACGCCCGATTACGGAATAATTATGTGACTTTTACGAGATCGTCCATTTTAGCGTTTTATTATCCGCGGCAGCGGCTTCCGACAATAAAATCCTCACGTGCGCATCTAACTGATCTAACCTCAACGTAAAAGAAAATTTGCGGTTCAAAAATCGATTGTTTCTTATATAATAAAGAGAGAGAAATTAACGAACCGAGGAACGACATACATGTATTACGCCGAGTAGGAGAGAAAAAAAGGATCTTCCTCTCTCTCTCTCTCTCGAGGATTAGTGACAGTCGAAAAAATGTAGGGTTAAAAAAGCAGCGTAAGAGAGTACCGGCTAAAATATTACGTGGGGACGAGTCGCGTACAAGAGAGACAGACGAGGACAGAAATAGAGAGCGGGGGCACACACAGGAAACAACTCCGCGGAGCCAAATCGAGAGAGAAAGAGAGAGAGAGAAGGGATCAGCAAGAAAAGCGGAGTGAATCTCCTCTGGCTAACCGTGCTCCCCCACCCAACTCTTTCTTTTTTTCGACACTTGGACCGCACCGTGCACTCACCTACGCAACTCTTTCGTACGACCTACCTCTCTCTCTCTCTTTATACATATATATATATAATTCTTCATATTAATAATTCTGATAATATAATAAGGACTTACGCGTCGAGATGCATACATGCGAGTTGAGCCTCGGCGACGACGTTGACGGCGGTGATCGGAAACACAGTAGTCGTCGACGATGGTAAACGTTCACCGAGTCAAAAAAAAACCGGAGGCAGGAGCACTAGGTGCCGCGGAGGCTCAGACCTCCGTCGGCGCGTGCAGCGATGACGGCGGGACTACGCCGGCGAGCACGGGAGAGACGTCCGGGACACGTTGTTCGCGGCGTGCTGCCTCCTCGCTGGCCGCACATCGGCGGCGAAGGCGACGTAGTCGTCGTGTCGAAGTCGCGCGCCCGCGCGAGAGCGCTCACGGTCGTTCGCTGTCTCTCTCTCTCTCTCTCTCTCTCCTTTCTTTCTCTCCTTCTTCTTCGCCCCGACTGTCTTTTTAGCTCTCACTCGCGCGACCACAGATTCGTTTCCTTTTTCTTGCACCTCTCGCGATGTCCGTTTCTTTCACTCGTGTCGAGTTCTCTCTCTCTCTCTCTCCTTCTCACGCTCTCTTGGCCTGTCCGTCAGTAACCTAGAAAGCGGCGGCCATTCAGGATTACGGGACCTCGGTTACGTTCGCTTAAGTCTCGCCTCGAGATCCAGATCCGGTGTTATCCTCGGCTCTTTCAATCGAGTCACTCGCGATCGCCCGAGATTACCGAGAGTTCCACGCGCGCGGAACTCTTTTTCTCTTCACGTCTCTTTCGCGCGTCTGAGATCGGGGCTAACTTCACACCGCGAACGCACGCACGTACCGTTCGCCCATTACGACGCTCGTTTCGCTTCGACTTTCTTCACGACGAGGACGACGAGGAGGGTAGAGCCAAAACCACGAGATCCCTCGGACACCCGCGTCCGCTCGGAGCTATGCACAATAAAACCGGCGCACGGCTCTACTATCGACACACTGTGCCCTCTTCCTTCTCCCACTGTCCCTTCTTACTCTTTTTTTCTTCTCTCTCGCGACGCGCACACAACTTCACTCCGTACTCCCTCGACTCCGGGAGAGCGAGAGAGTGAGTTACGACGCGCACCCTCGGCCACGGCGGATCCGGCCAGGTGCGGAGCGACTCTACCGGAGGTATATACCCTCTTGGGTGTGCTCCGAGACGGCTGTGGCGACGGCAGCGACGACCCCGACGACGACGACGACGACGACGAAGACGATGCGGCGAGCACTAGCGTGTTCGCGAGGACGCGGAAGATGCTCGTACGAGGACGCGTCTTCGGCCCGGGCACCTCAGTACGCGCTCAGGGATATTCGCCCATTTGTGACAGATATTTTCCCGTCCGAGGTACACCGCGTTAACGACCGACCGACCGTCCCCCACCTACCGCCGCCACATACAGACATCACGGCACTTCGATTTTTCAAGATGGCGGCGCACCGCCATGGGCTCGGAGCGACGCGCATGCGCGGTGCCGCGGGTGCAGAGAGTGCAGATAAAAGGCGCGCTATTTTAGTTTCCCAGCGCGCGATCCTTCGCGCCGATTGGCGCGTTCGGCGATTCGAAGCGAAAATAGCGTCGAGCGAATGCACCCAGAGTGCAGTAAAATTGGCACGTTCGAATTATATATTATAGTTAGTTAGATTATTTTTATTTACCCTTTTATATATTTATTTTTATCCTTTTGGTTGACTGATTATTAAGATTTCTTTGGCCTGATCCGGGAATTAAAGGCTACTTTATCCCGAATAAATTTGCGATCGTAACGAGGATAACACCGTCGTCATAATAGGATCAAAAATTTAATTATAAAATTATGCAAATTTTTTGACGTTACAGATTTGATTACTTATCCTTTCATGTCATGTGGAAATGACCAATGATTATGCGTTGTTGTGCAACAGCATCGTTCATTCATCTGAATGTTTGTATATATGCTTGTGCTTTTTAATTTGTTATTATCAATTTCCGATATGAAAAATCGCGCAATATGATAAAATTATCATTTATCATATAATACATGATTGTTATGTAATCTCTATTTTGAAAGTTGATTCGTTAGTAAGATATCAATACAATATTGCATAGTGTATATCATCTTAATTTTAAGTTTCAATAAATAAATAAAATGATCCAAAATGCATTCTATGTAAAACTTTCTACATCTAGATTATTAACTCGTTAGAGTTCGAAAGTTTGATTATAGTAAGATAAGAGAAAAAGAAGGATATAATATCCAATGTTAAATTAATATCTTATATTAATTTAACTTTCAAAATACAATTCTACGAAATGTTAAATAATATGGAGGATAACACTTTGTAAAAATAAAGACCTGCTAAATATATCTATAGATATTTAGTCAAGAGCAAAATATTTTTGCAATAGGTCCTCGTATATGTCCTTATCACTCTTTAAAAATAAGCAAAAGATGACTCTATCAATCTGGAAATTCACAATAAAAATTTTATGAATATTAATGATTATAAATATTAGAAGAATATAGTTGCCATAAAATATATATGCAATCTTACATCTTGATTTTCACGAAGGAATTTCTGGACTGTTGATAAAGCTACGTTGGCTGCAGGTTGTTGCGGATATCCATAAATTCCAGTAGATATGCATGGAAATGCGATAGAACGCAAATGATTCTCTTTAGCCAACATCAGACTGTTTTCATAACATTTTCGTAATTTCTCTGGCTTCTCACCTTGTGGACCAACTGTATGAATAACATCTAAAACATTGCAAGTATCAAAATATTAATTTTTGTTAATAAAAAATAAACATATTAACATTCAGTTTTTGCAAAAGATAAATTATTAACATTTAGCCGGCAACATGTAACCTCCTGTAATTTTGGCTTCGCCAACTTTACATCCTCCTAATGTTGCACATTCTTTCTTTAAATTTGGTCCTGCCGCTCTATGAATAGCTCCATCAACTGAAAAAGCTTACATTTAATATATATATGGGCAATTTTATTTATATTTATTTTTGTGTTAAATTTCCTAATGAATAACATTCTTTCTACCTCCACCACCTCCTAAAAGACTCGAATTTGCAGCATTGACAATTGCATCTATTTCAAGTGAAGTTATGTCTCCTTGCCATATCGATACTTTCTTAACTATGTCCTCATCAACCTTTTCAGTTTTCTCAAGAGTCTTGGCAATGTTAAATTTATTTTTCTCCCAATACTCTGGCCATGCAGGAATCTGATCCAGAGTTGTCACTTGTGCTTTGTAGAAACTTCTCTTCTCCTCCGGTGGCATGTTTAAGAATTTCTCTAGTTACAGAAATAAGAAAAAAAATTTTTATACGTATATTACATATATTTATAGAATATTTACAGAAATATAGCTTAATGATGCTACAGATCGCAATTAAATTTCGTACGTTTCTCATCTTCGAACGACATCGTTCCTTCGGGTTTGATCGAAGCCGTTAAATTGCGTCTCGATAAGAAACTCCGAAGAGGACAAACTCTTGTAAAGGAGCGATTAACAACGGTCGCCTAGAAACCAAAAGCAGTTTTCGCTGCAAAACTCACGCGAAAGTAGGCACGCTCTTGTCCCTTACTTTCAGAGTCATCATATTCCGCGGCGTCGAAGATCACTGAAGAGTTCTGTCAGTAATCGACGTCGCGTTCTTGCGGCTCGGTACAATATGTCGTCGCGGATTTTTCTATCCCCACGCGACCGCGAATATTGATAAGCTCGCGTGACTCACCGCGAAAAACGTCGTCGTCGTTTCCTGTTTACGTCCTTTGCTCGAGATTCGCGATCGCGAATACTTAACCTTTTTCGTCGCAGCAGTAATAAGACAACTGTCGCCATCTCGCGGTGTCGACGCGCTTGCATTCGATGCAGGTGCATTCTGTCCACGAGAGATGGCAGCAGCATTAAGAAATATATTCCTTCCATAAACAAAAATTTTACGCGATAGATCAATTATTTGTGATATATTTGTCATAATTAAAGGAGATAAATCTGCGAAAGAGAGACGTCCAGGCTGCAAAATTTATATTTTTAAGAAAAAAAAAAATAATACATAACGTAAAATGTGCAATATCGAATTAATTAAATATATAAATTTTTTAATATTTAGAAAACGAAAGAGAAAGAGAGGAGTGTAATAAAAATGTAAAGAAAATAATAATAGTAATTAAAAAACATAAATTATAAATTATATATAATTTATTATTAATAAATTATAATTACAGATATTAAATTATATCTAAATATTATATGTAATTTATACGGACATGCACATATAGGCAAAATTGTGAAGTCGGATAAAAATTTTATAGTGACACTATCGCGTGCTCGCTTGACATTAATAAATTATTTAAAAAAAATTTCTTTCCCATTTCTATTAAATACACCTATGATTTATTTTACTTAGAAATCAACGAGAGAAAAATAAGAAAGACATTTTAAAAAACCGGTTGTCATATCAGATAAAAAAGTAATCAAATATCTATTCGCGATAACAGATCGGCTAATAAATAACACATTGTCTTAAATTGTTAAATTATGCAATATCTCTTTAATTACAATTAATATCACGTCGATGTAAACGATCAGTTCGGACGATTTAAATTATAATTATGAATAGGAATTTGAGTGAATTAAAATTTGCGTAGGCGTGTGTTAATCCGTGGGCGGTCAGGCGGAAATACGCCTTCAGCGAGACGTTAACCTGTCATAAGATGCTTATCAAAGTGCTCTTGTAAAGTCACGTAAATGCCACGGTTTTCAACTTTATACTGTGTATCAAACCGATCGAACGTCTCTCGATAAAATCACATGATAAATGCTTCGCTAGAAGCGGGCGAAGAATAAAGGTCTCTCCTCTGGGAATATCGCTTTATATGAAATTGAGTTTACAATTGACTGTAGGGGTCGCATTTTAAAAATGTATAATTTATTTGCTATTTTTCGCATATTATTCTTCATCGAATAAAAGTATCATTGAAAATATATATATTTTATATTCTATTATATTACAAAACATTGTTTTTTTTTTTAATTGTGCCCTGTGCGAGTTATATTTTCTATAAATGTTATCGATAAATTGTGTTAGATTTGAATTTTGTTTGGATTCATTTACAGTTTCTTTCAATGAAACGTAAAAATATAATTATATAACACGAAGGAATTTTATTATCCTCAGATGCCTAATGTTTACATGCATTAGTAGATTGTGCAAACATAATTTGCTATATATGTTTGCTTTTTATTACTGCGTGCAACTTTTATAAGTTTTTCTTAATTGCGCGAAAGTTGCAAGATATTTTTGTGCTTCTATTTTTTTTTTTGTGTGCTTATTGAGTTGAAAGAAAGTTTCACGATTGGACGGTATATGAACTTTCAGGTAACGAGCCGCCCACGCTCGGGTCACCGAAATACGATCTCCACGATCCCGTATGTGTATCGTGTACGCTGAGATGCAGTTATATCACTATGTTGCAGCCACTGCACCATGTTTCTGTTCGCAGCTGGAATAAAAAAGTAGCGGAAACCCCTGTCGAAGCTTGCACACGAATTATTTTATGGCGCCACGGCTGTTTCACGATTAGGAAAGTTTTAAAGTAAAATAGAACGTGAACCTATATGGAACGTGAGCTTGCACCCTTATCCTTTTTCAATGATTTACATAAATAGATAAAAAAAAATAAATAAAGAGATAAAAAGGATCGGCACTTTTTTTTATCGTGGATTATATTATTTCTTGAGTTTTTGGGGAAAAATTTCTGAAATAAAATACACTTTAATCCAGTTTTATGTATACAAATTATTAGATAGTTGGCAGAATATTCTTAACTCTTCTCCAAGCCAAGTAGATTTTCGGAATATATATCATTTTCAGACCTTAAACAAGTTTACGTTAAATTAAGAATTTTAGATTTACGTTTGGTATGTAACATATTTTTGTACATAAATTTATAATTATTTGTTGCGATGAAATGTATTAAAATTATAATTATTTTTATGTAACTTTTTATAGATTTACTTGAAAAGGGCTGCAATGACAGCCGAACATATTTTTGTACATGAATTTATAATTATTTGTTACGATGAAATGTATTAAAATTATAATTATTTTTATGTAACTTTTTATAGATTTACTTGAAAAGGGCTGCAATGACAGCCGAACATATTTTTGTACATGAATTTATAATTATTTGTTGCGATGAAATGTATTAAAATTATAATTATTTTTATGTAACTTTTTATAAATTTACTTGAAAAGGGCTGCAATGACAGCCGAAACGTTGTATTTTAACTAATTATTTATAATAAATGATTGCCAGTTTGGTCGACTTTTACCATTGAGGAAAGATTTTTATTAAGAATTTCAATTTCCATACTGATAGAAGTTAACAAACACGAACAATTCTTCGAAATTGAAAAACTATTAAAGATTGATTAAAGAAGTATTAAAGGAGCATTAAATAAATGAAAAATCAGGGAAGCTCCGTCGAACAAGAGAAAACAAACACTTGTTAACGTTAATTCTCCACACCTACGCGAAATTTCCGGCGAACAAAGCCGTAGTATACATTTGTTTGCGCGCGTAATGTGAATGAACAGCCCTTGGCGACGTGATGGTTGATGCCTATGTGGCGACAACAACGAGAACGACGGCAATGACGAGGACGACGTCATCGTCGGCGGATCGTCGAGGAGAATCTCCTCCACCACGTTGTACAGAACGGCAAGAGCGTAGTAGCGCATGCTGATAGCCGCCCTATCGATCCATCCGCACCCGAGCTTTCTCTCGCTTCTCCTCACAAGCCTCGTGAACGTCGTTACCGAACCACCGTCCCGGCACCGTTGTATAATAACTCGGGGTGTGATTTTCTTTCCGTGCGATAACAATATCCGTGTCCTTTCTTTCCCGTTCTCGCCATCTCGATCGTGCATCCTGTGGAACGGCCATCAGGAGCAAGGAGTACTAGGAGACGAGCAAGCAACGGCAACGTTATGGCACGTCACGAACATTGCAGGGCGATTTTCCTACTGTGTAAGTTTTTTTCGGAGAGTTTCGCGCGATTCCTCGTTTATGTAGTGCATCATTTATGCGTTTCTAATATTTTCGAGAAGAATGAGATAATCTGTTCGTGATTAAAAAAGTTGCGACGAACACGATCTCGCCAGGTCGCGCCATTTAATCCTTAGATGCGTTGGAGAGTCATTCGAATGGAAAGTTTTACATAAGAGAATCTTTTTTTTACGTAAGCGAATCTTTTCGCGATTGTTCTCAAAGAAATTTCGATAAATGAAGAAAATCAATAATAGAATAAAAATATGATAAGAAATTTGCAAAGAATTATTTTGACATGGAAGGAATGTCGATATAACTGGATTAAAAAACAATATTTCGTTAAAGCTGTGTTCTGCATGGAATCTAATGAAAATTTTTAGTATGTAATAATTTGTACCTTTTGTCATATTTTTTTAAATATGTAGGTATAATGTTAACAAAACATTTGTATAATAATACATAATTAAATAGTCCTGTTCTCGTGTATTTATTTTTTTTTTTTCAATTTGGTATTTGATATTTTTGGCAAACTTGACATTACGAGATTATATTGTAGTATCATTACAAGCACGATATATGAAACGTTGTGGGAAGAAACCATATGATTGATGCATGAGAAATGCTATTTTTAGAGAGAAAGAATTCCGCAGATAATGCTTTAGATAAACTATGTATAATCGTGAAGCTTTCTATAGTCAGAAATTTAAATCGAAAACTACTTTCTCTTAACAAGACAAGATAATACTAGAAGCACTTTGTTCAATTCATTATTCTTTAATTCCCATAACTAATTTGTGAGGATCGCAGAAGAGTAATACCGTTTTATTTTAACAAGTTTAGTAGAGGAAAAAAAATTAAATTAAAGATGTATATAGACATTGAAAATTAGACAATAAACTTTAAATTGTACAATTTTTATCAATCTTTGTAGATTGTTTTTAAACATGATTAAAACTCCGGACGTCTTTCCTGTAATTTATTTTGGCTTAACTTAAGAACTGATTCTTTTAATTTACTGTTATTAATTTAATCTGAAAATTTGTATCGTAGCATTTATCGTAGTAAACATTAAGGGGTTTTATTGCAATAATTTTTGACAGGGTGCATCTCGAGCACAGCGTTCAGCATTACTCTTCCTACACCAACGCGACAAGACTTATACACCACACGTAGAACACCAAAGGTCCGCGTAGATTTGCCTACCCAGAGAACGAGATTACCCTTGGTAAGTATATTTGATACTTGAATCTCTTTATTAATTATAATTTTACATCTTTCATATTCTATTAGTTTTTTTCGCTATTATATTTTATGCTTCTTTATTTAATTATATTTTTGCATAAAAGCACATATTTCATTAAAATTAAAAAAAAATTATTGATATAGTATACGGAATAACCGATTAAAAATTTCCTCGATATTTTTTTCCTTTCACCTACAATACACCTTTCAAGCGAATACACAATGTTAGTGGTATAATCAATATGCACTCTAAGAAATGCAACGATTTATATTTCTGTGGACAGGAGTAATTATTTAAATGGATTCGCGGAACGTGCTAATTCATATATATTTATAGAAGGATGAAGTGATATCGTGTATAATATATCTGTGTATAAACTTCTATATACATATATACTAATGTTCCTACAATAGTGGGCGGCGACCTATGTATGTATTCTATGTACGCGAGCTGCATTTTATTGTAAATCTGCGCGTAATCGTATTATCATATTATCGTTTATTACGAGCGCTTATTTAATTCTAAGATTCACCAATACGATAATTAACTCCCGACGAAGGTATCATTATATGATTATATGACTCGGCGCGATTACGTGGACTCGTTTTCAGGAAACTTTGAAGATTTATCCTTGTCATAGCAAGGTCTTACGCTTTCTCAAGGCTGACCTTACATTGGGCGTAACAACGTTTTAATTACACCCACATTATAATGTATGATATAGTGCATGAAATTCATAAAGAAAATTCATTACGTCAATATATTTCTCTTATCGAAATTTTTAGCTCTTCACCAAAACCTTGATCCTATTCTCTCTCGCTCTATTTTTATATATCTTCTTTTATATTATATTATCATCTCCAAAGTTTTGTGTGTGATGCTAATTTTTTACTTAAGATTACTTTAGACGATCTATTCGAGGCAGAATTCTATTTATAATTTTATGTGTCATGCAATATAGAAGAAACGCATGCGTTTAAAGAAGTAAGAAACACACACACACACACACACACACACACACACATATATATATATATATATACATAATATATTATATCAAGATACATACTTATATTAGGATATTTGTGATATATAAAATATTATAATTATAATTAAATTGCCGTTTTAAATTTTTCTCACAAATTATATAGCTAATTTTTAACTTTATACATATATGTAAAAGATTGAAAAAGGCAAAAATGTAATTCTGGCAAAAGGCTAATTTTTTAACTTATGTCATGTTATAACATCATATCTGACAAAAGACCAATTTTTATGCTGTAATGTCATATCTTTGAAATATTATCATAAATGATTTCATGAAGGTACCTACAATCTCTTTACATTATTACAATCTTTTTTAAATCAAAGTTTAAAAGTATTAGCTTTTTATAGAGAGTTAATATATTTTTAATACAATGCTCAGTCTCATGTGAGATTTCATATTAGACATTTATTAATATTTCTTCATATTTTTCATACCCATTTATTGTGCTTTCGTAGTCTGTTGCTGCTCGAAAACATATCGCTAAATGATGCATGTCATGCAATTTATATTTCATCGCTATTGCGACAATCATATAACTTCCGGCTGTTAAATGTCACTGGTGATGTTACCAGCGCACTAAGATTTTACTGACGCGATGCTTTGCAATACGACTATCAAGATAACTCATGCGAAATTAAAAGCGGAACACTCCCCTTTTAAAGACGCTGTAAAAAATTATATATATGAAACATATTAATTAAAAAGATATTTATTGTTGAAAATTGAGAGAGAACTTGTGGCAAATAATCTTTGCCGAAAAAATAGATCGATTCTAAATTGATCAGATAATATATAAGCAAAAAACAACTTGTTATATAAATCTGGGATATCCTGTATATACATATATATATATATATACTGTGATATGCTCATAAATATATTATTTGGACATGATAAATGGCCTATAAAATTTTAAGCATGACGAGCAACATGTTTGTTCAGACTAATATCTTCTTATATAAAGCTATAATAATTCAGCCATCATTAGGCCATAAAAAATTATAAGACATTTTTCTTAAATTATTTTTTAATATTATGAATAATTATTAATAGATTATTAACCTAATTAATGACCCAGTATGAATAGTTATAATTTATTATTAATAAAATGTTGAATCGCAAGTATCCCAAAATAAAAATCAAAATATGAAATATAACATGTTATTTTTTACTTAATCAGAGTTAAATGATCGATAAGTCTAAAAAAAGTTGCGGTCACTTCTTAATATCAAAACGGTTAAATCATTGTGTAAATTCTTAAAGATTTTTTTCTTTACAAATTTTATGACCTTTTACTATACTTTAATACTTTTTTTATTTTTCACTTAATTTAAAGATTGAATGTTTAAACTCGATTTACAATGGATTTATAGAACTTCTCTGATGTTAAATTCTTACAACATCCAATAGCTGTAGTTTTACGCCACTCTTTGACATTTTCGGTATTGAACATTTATACAACGTCATTGTGCAAAGATTTTACGATTCTTATGTAAACTTTTACTATTATCACTTGTATCAACTCGACTATGCTCTTTTTTATATTCTGTAATTGTGGATTTATACATGTTATAACATACATGTTTACATCATGTTTACATCTGCCTTTATGTTAACGACTCGTTACACACGAGAAAAAAATTGCCACGACAAAACTCTGCATTTACGTTGTAACAAGTGACCTTCCATAGAATCTACTTATAAACGGAAGATACTTTTGTAGCAAAATAAACTAGACATGAAAACGTTATTAAGCAATTTGCTTACGTGGTTTCACCGATAATTTTTATTGAGAGAAATAATTCTTTTAAAACAATTGTTTATGAGTCAGTATTATTTTATGATTTTCATCTATAAATAATCATCGTTGATATTTTATTCTATTATTAATTATGTTACTATTTTCTTTTTCAGGTTATAGTTAATTCCGAAATCAAAACAACCACGAGTGCGCCCGCAACCACAACAACTACACAATCACACAGATCAGTTTCAACGGATAAACCCTTATATCGATTGGACAGAAGCAACGGACAAGCTTGTATCCTTCTTCAAGTAGATGCGATTGTTGCCGTCAAATATCGCACAAAATACGGCGAGGATCAAGTAAGAAGCATGTATAAATTAAATTTCGCGATGAGAAGAAATCTTATCCCTGATCCTTATTAATAGCGCACATAGTTAATGGAGTAAAATTATAATTAAATTTTTATGTTCTCAGGAAGTGGATATCTATGTACCTGATGATGCGACCGTGACCGGAAATTGTGACAATGAAAATACGGTGACAATGTCATTGAAGTGGAATGCCTTCGTATTATCTTGGAGTTTCGCCAAGGTAACTTTTTACATACAACGCTAATCCAATCTTTATATCATTTTGACGGAGAGATTAGTTTCCGATGGAAAGTTATATAAACGGCAATTATACGAGGGATAAATCACCTGAACTATGCCAGACACAAGGTTGCTTTTTGCGCGAATCGATACGTGACTCTTTACCGAGATATAGTTCATTTGATTTTCCACCTTCATATTGTTGATTGCGTGCTAAGAGCTATTACGATATTCCGTAATTATATTCCGAACGATAGCTACAGACTTTGCGGGATAAAAACAATAAAAGTTCTTTTTATCGGAAGTAACGCTATCTTAGGGAAAAAGGAGTCATACACGACGAGTGATAGGATGTTATTTATACGCAAACATGCAACAGCAAAAGTGCATTTAGAAATATAAGAAACGTTGTCCCATTTTTAATCTAATTTTTGCGTAAAGTAAAAACGTGGTCGATCCGATAATATTTTCTCGAGATGCATGATTTTTATTTTTCAGACACCTGGTGGCGAACGTTGGTATGTCGAGAAAATTGAATTGACCTACAATTCTAGCGACAAACACTTTGAACACGTTGATGAACCAAGTAAGTGCCAATTAGTGCCAATTTTAATTAATTGAGCATATTGACTTTTTATCAAAATGTGTCATTAGAATTCGATAATATATTACACAATATGTTTTTTTTTTATTTCTAACTAAATATGCAAAAAAACATGATATAAGAGCCTTTGATTAGTTAATCATAAACTGCCAAATATATTCGATATTTTTTGAGAAAACTCTGATGTTATATTATTAACACTAAACCAACTGTTTCATTAATATCTTAGATAAAACTATTCGAGTGAGTACCGGACAGAAACACAGTGCCATGCTATTCCCTACACCGGTTGGAAAATCGTACGCTTGTTCCGAGGAAAAAGTAATTCCGCTCACCGACGGAAAGAAAAATCAAGCCAGTGTACTTCTGAGGTATTTATATTTACCAAATCAATCTTACTTCAAAAATTGTCTTTCTTAAAAATAAGCTATAATATAAAGTCACGACTCGAACTTATAATTAATTGAGATAAATTTTATCTCGCTTTCATATTCAAAGTTAAACAACTTTGACACATGTACAGCTAATTTCAAGAATCATTTTTTTATTATGTAACTAAATAATTCTCAAAATATCAGCTATTTTTAGCCATTTTTATTTTGAAAATTCAATGCACGGAGATATACCATAAAATATATATCATAATTTGAGAAAGACTTCGATCCTGTCGGACGAGGTAATTTGTGAGAAGGTAGATACTAAAAAGGAAAAAAAATAAAAATTTCAGAGATATGAAGCTGCAACCCTTCAAGTTCAAGAACAACGAGTTCGCCTCCGAATTCTCATGCGCCTCGTTGAGCGCGCGCGCAGGTAGGGATGAAACCGCGCCGGTTGCAGTCGGCTCGACGCTGGCGGCCGCGGTCCTCCTGACGATCACTGGCTACGCGGCCTACCGATACTTCAAGGTGAAGAAGGTCAAATATGACACGATGGAGTAAGAAGGGCGAATCGATTCCCCACTGTCACTGACGATGCCAAAGCGTGCGCGTATCGCCAAAATTACGACTCGTAGTTTTTATTCCTTCCCGCCCACGTTAATCATTGTTTTGGAAAAAGGCTCGTTTGCATTCTTCGTCGAGCATTTTTGTTTAATTGACTGGAAGTTGTATCAATCGGACTTGTAATTATCGAGTAACGATTTACAGAATTAAATCCTCTTATAGAAAATTAAACGTGTCAATTGAAGAGTCAAATTGGAGGCAGGCAATGTTACATTGAAGCAGGCTTCATCTTTCGTGAGACGAAATATCAGAGAGAAAAAATTCGAAAGATCTTTTAACGTGATGGATATTTTTAAAGGTTTTGCAGAAGGTATATGAGTAGATGTATTTGAATTTTTTTATTATTTAAAGAAAGATAATCTCGTTATGTTATGAACCTATAATATTAATAATTATTATTAATTATTAATATTATAATTCAATTATTTTTTGAAAAAGTTAATCTCTTAAAAGTTTTTATCGTCATTTGCTTCGAGCTTATAAAAATTGGACTACATTTATTTTTACATCGGTTTGGAAAAGACTTTTTGTTCTTTTATATGAAATGTTTGTTTATAAAATTAGACAATATTGTCAATTTTTGTTTACGATTAGAGCAATTTCAGATCACGTTTTAATGCATCCTTATATATAGAAAATAGATATCGTCGATTTATGCCATAAGTATTAATATAAAAGTGTCGAAACAAATGATGCAATGGATGAATTTCATGATTAGTGTATACGCGACATTTATCAATCGCGTAGATCGAATGTCAATCGATTCGTTCAGAATTTAACTGAAAAACGACATTCGTAATCGCAAACTCGGATGGTTGTATCAATAGGCTTTTAAATTTGTAGATCTTGCCGTTGTATGAGCATTGAATGAGGAACATTCCAAAATCTTGTCACTCGTGCATTTTCTCGTCACAAAAATTACATTGATGATGGGATCTTTAGGGAATTTGCATAATTTTCTAGAGAATTACAGAGAAGAAAAAACACAGCTATACTTTAATGTTCCGCGGAATACATGCGTCATTCAAACAGTTGAAATAATTAAATTGGTTCCCTCGGCGTAAAAAAACTCGCGATATAACATATCTTTATCCATTTGAATATTATTATTATAGATAAAAATATAATAGTAGTATAATAACAATTTTGATTATAATCCGAGATTCAAGATTCCATAAACGAGGTTCTTTAATACCTCAAAGATGTAAGAGGGTCCTTCTTGGCAGCTAATGATGTTAAATAGGTATCTAGATTAATTAACGAGAGTGTATTAAAAGTCTTAATACATTTCAATGTGACGCCTTAAATTATCTTGTACATAGCAATCGTCTATAATTTACTGATAGATTATTTCCAATTTTTTACATCGATTGTACTCAATTTTACCATGCTTTACTCTTTGCAATGTATAGCTTTGTAAGTTTCTCGATTTGCGAAATTTAAGAAATACTTACCTGTAAATATAAAGTTAAATTAGTTCGTCCCACAACATATATATATATATATATATATATATATATATATCTGTTATTATTTATGTCTTGGGTGGAAATGTGAATTGTGATCCAGACATTTAGAATTTGCATCAGAATTGATCTCAAACATTATTCTCGCTCGATATTATGTAGTACAAGATGAGAAATTGTAGAAGAGTCTATATCCTTCGCGAGGTTGTTTCTCAAATCTTCTTCGAAATATTTATATGAATATGTCAATTTTCGAGGACTAACAGAGTAGTGATAAACTTCATATCGGGAGTGGCGTTACACAAATACACGCCACGATAGGATAATTCTTTCATCCGGCTTATAATTCTTTGTGTATGTGTGTGTGTGCGTATGTATGTGTGTGCTATGCAATATACTATGTAAATATACATAGGCGAGGTGAAGCCGCATTACGCGTATTATGCGTGAAGCATTTAGATTACAAATACACAGAATTTAATTTAGAAAAATTCACGTCAACATTGATTACACTTCATTTTCTTTTGCAGAAGTTTCCTCGTGTTCCTTTCTTTTACATTCTACTCTGTATTTTCGTTGGATGCATCTAAAAATTTTGCTATAAAAGTGCTGGTTTTAGGAATGGTACCTTGACATGTAAAATTCAAAGTTGTAAATTTATATTTAAACTTTTGCCCACAGAAAATTACGATACGCATAGTTATTAATGGTATTGTTTCATCAGTTATGATATACGGTGGATAAAACACGAGTTTGCATTTTGAAGTGATTACGGAAAAGGTCATTTATTTATATATCGAAAATAGCTAGTCGCTGGCGATGGCGCGTGATGAATAATATAATTACTAGCGAGAAAGTTATGACGTACCTAACTGTGTAAGATGTATACGTCCACGCGTGCATACATTAGGAATATATACATATCTACGCGTGTACATATACGTTATATAGACATATAAATATATGACTATATGAAGAGAAACTTACGTTATCAAGATATACGCATAATATAAAAAAAAATATATATATATATACATATATATATATATATTCTCTAATATATATATATATATAAACCTCTGTCTTCCAAATGCATATTAAAGTTATTTCGTGTGTAAATATATATATTACGAATATCGTATAATAATGTATTTCCACAGATTTGTCAATCGTCGACTCGTAAATGTGGCCGGTAGCGAGTATCGTGACGATTCACAAGATCTTGATTTATAGAATTCGAAGGATCTGAAATAATTAACTCTATTTCGATTTAAAAAAAAAAAAGAGAAAGAAAGGAAAGACGCGCGTGAGATTTGAGAACCAGATAAATCTATTTTTTCGAAGGTACATTATTGCATAAAAACTTATCACACTTATAGTTCAATTAGTTATATCTTTCGAAATTTCTGCTAGCTATTATGATCCAATTGAATTGATTTGAATCGGCAAGATCGGATGAACGCATCACGTACGCTCGCGTATGTCGTGATACTGACACGAGAAAGGTCTAGCTGTAATTACATGGAATTGTATTTTTGTGCTAAAATCAATCTTATCTTAGATATTAAAGGAATAGTAAAAAACGAATTGAGAAAATTAATGGTGCGCGATTCCGCTTGCGTCTCGGTGGATTAATGGGTGGAATATATTTAATAGATCTCTCTCGACTTGATTTTACGCGACTTTGCGTTTTCCTTTGTAAAATTGTGTAAGAAACAACGGTGAGGCACGATGAGGCAGATTGTTGAATCGCGACGTCTTCGATAATGAAATGACGTCAAATTATGAATCATATCGCTTGACCTATAACCGCAAGGCGTTAAGTCTTGTAACAATTATTATAATAATCTTAATACTTATTAAGTAATATAATTATTATAATAATTATTATAATAATTAATGTAATGATTATTATAATAATGCGTTACAATTGCGAAGACCGCCAGAATGGAAAGGTGGATTCCAATTTCACGTGGCGCATAGCGACATATATCTAATTAAAATTGTATCATAACGATAAAATAAAGGCTGTTATACAAATTCGCTCGATCCTGTACGTTGCATCCACGACGCTCTACAAGATAATCTCCCATCAATTTTATATGACATTTTTTCGTAATTCTAATTTAAATAAAGTAAAATAATAGCAAATCACTAATTCAACTTAATAACAATTTTTATTTTTACTATTTTTGTATGTATTTTTCAATAGAAAAACAAATATTATCGAAAATTCTAATCTAGACTATGTTAAATTATGCTGAGTTGCATTAAATAAATCTTATTTATTTTTTTTTAATAATTTTTAAAGTATTTATATCAAATTTATAATATTATCACATAATACATAATATATATAAAATATATTGAATATTATTATATTACATAATAATATTAATTAAATTAAAAATATTTATAAACGCGTGATCATTCAATTAAACAGATCTTTGAAAGCAGACTTAACGTTGAGAAAGGAAAATATATGTACCTTGTAATCGCGTTTCATTTTATATACATGGGTATTACGCTTTTTCGAAAGCAGATGTCTATTCAGGGACGAAGGGTCGCGGAGACATAATAATCTTGCGTTGTGGAAAGGGCGGTGAAAAGTACAGTCAAGCAGGCTTATGCTGGCCGAGGGGTTGTCCTCCCTTTGCGCAACACCGTCGTCGTCGGCTCATTGTCGCAATGTCTATTGAAATCTCTTGCAACAATGACGCGCGACAGGACAATTCGCATTGTCGCCTACGAGAGAGTATTTCGGGTTTTACATCTATGAGCGATTAGAAAGATCGCTGCTCACACGTCATCGCATTTCGCGGATTACGGATTGTTCATGTAACAACCCTCGTTTATTTCACCAATTTCGTGTATAGGTATATCTAATAATCGAGCGAAAGTCTAATTTGCAATCGCATTTATGGCGCGAAAAAAAAAAAATATATAATAATACACCTCGTCGAAGCATGAAAAAGAAACTGTTCCCCATCGATACGTTCGCGCGACCTGTAATTGGGCCGCGTTTAATTAGCAATTATCACGACGCGATTTCGCTTAATTGACCGGAAATTTATTCTTCGCGCTCGCGAGGAGGCGATAACACGGCAGCGCTGACCGGGGATAATTGAATGTAATTGGCTGCGTTTGATGACAGATGTGTACCGCCAGGATTCGGAAGGAGAGGAGACGGGGTTCGTCCAGGAAGAGACAGGGAAACTGGCAGCGAAGGGGGCGCGAGGTGCGCGAGGGGATGGCCTATAATTTATAAACTAGGGGCTGTTTTGGGGTAATTGCAGATAACGACGGGGCGGTCCGGATAACAAGCCGACATGGGAGTCACTGGACACCGGTGCCACTCCACCATCCGCGCGTATAACACCATAACCTTAGCGTCGTTATGCACGGTTATGCCCGGCTCTGGTACAGTGTGTATGGTATATAGTTTGCGGCCCTGTCCAAGCGTAAGTTATGTCGCGCGTGATATCAACCCCGCCGGGGGTTGAGTTAATAAACGACCGCGGTTGCAGCGAAATCGCCCGCCACCGTCGTCGTCGCCGTCACCTTTCGAACTCGTTAGCGGCGGAAATGTCGAGCGAGATGTCGTTTAAACCGAAAGATGAATGAATCGACATTTTCCTCGGTGCATCGATATCTAGTACATCCCCTTCTTTCCGTTTAACGAAATATATTCTCGGTGTGCTCTTGGAGAAAATAATTAGGCCGCGAGTTAATCATCCACGATTGATCAATGCGTATTTTTAAGATACACGCATTATACTTTTTATCCGGTATATAAACGAATCTAGATTCTAAAGATTGAATCTTTTATTTGAAAATTATTTTTAACAAATAATTAATTGTTAATTATATAAATGATTTATAATAAATTTAAAATAATTATTGAATAAATTATAATTAATATATATATATATATATATATATATATATATATATAAAATATATAAGTTTCTATTAATTATTAAATATCTAATAATAATTAATTATCAGTTACTACGTAGCACTATTTAATTGTGATTTGTGACATCGATTTTACACAGATAAGCAGATATTTTTCATCAGCCATCACTTCACATCTTGTTGGACACAAAAGGGCAACATCTACCATTTTACGGGTGCATAGACACGTGTAAAATCCATTCGGGCGAATACTGGATGCAATGACATCCGGTCTACCTGGATAATATCTTTGAGGGTATTCAGGAGAGGTTGGAAGTGACGAATTGCGTTTATATTTTGACAGCTTGGTGACTTTATACGTGCACTCAGATGTCTAGGAGGATTTACGGTTAAATAAACATTATTTTAGTGCACATCAAACAATTTGAAATAGAATACACACTCGACTTTCCTTTGATTTTGTGCCACGTGCCACTCGCATAGATTGTAGCATTACTGCACGTGGAGCTTTATGCGGTTCTAATGCATTTTAATTGATTAATATATACATTTTCTACTATGAAAATCATTTAACTGCAACGCGAAATCGGTATCAAAACATAGAATTCTATTTTATAAATACGAGAGCGGAAATTGTTTTCATCAAAACTTTACAAAATATCAGTCGATTAAAAAATAACAAAAGCACATTGTATTTTATATTTATTTTATGCTGTATAAATAAAACGCAAAATTTCACACACAGAACAGTCGTCGAATCTTTTGCAGCGAAAGCTTTAGCTTGCAAAAATATTTTTTACATTTTGTTTCTCTCTCTCTCTCTCTCTCTCTCTCTCTTCATATTTTATAATTTGTTGTAATTGAATATACGTCTATATATGTCTGTGTATGTGTATATATGGGTGATATCTGTTTCGCGAAACGAAATTTAAAAATAGTCTCCGTGTTTTATCGCAACAAACGACTTGCTGTTAGCGGGAAAGCGTCGACGCAGCAACAGCCCGTACTCTCACTCGCGCTATAACCAGCCTCGCACGTGGACCCGTCAAGAAGATCCTTCCTGGAGGCGCTATAAATACATCTCCTGGATGTATGACGCGATGATTCCCAAGTTCCCACAGTGTGAACGAGCGACTCGGCGCGGTCTTGATAAGCCGATAAAAAGCGACTCGGCCTTGACGAGTCTGCACTGTCAGCTCGAGGAATCGTCGAAGGCAGCGCGTCGTCTTCGTCTTTCGTCAAAACGTCATCTTCGTGTACGTGTGTATCGTGAAAGAATTAGCCGACTAATATCGAGCATCATTTGCCACGCGCGAATTGGCAAAATTCGCCGAAGCGACTTCCTGAAATTTTTTCAGCGTTCAAATTCTCAAACTGATAATTTGTATATAGTCAATTTTGCTTGAAATCTTTCAGCCTAGATGTTTCAAAATCGAAGATATTCGGAACCACAGGAAATTTTATAAATTTAAAATATTAAAAAAAAAAATACCACAAAAGTCTGATAACACACGACAAAAATTAAAAAAAAATTGTTATACTTTATTTATTTTTCTGACATTTTATATTATATAAATATTACGGCAAATATATATTTTTATGCGATATACACGCACACGCAGAAAGAATTCTGAGAGAGAGAATTCTAATTGAATAAATCTCAGTTGTGGCTCGGGCGATTTCATCGTTTGAAAACCACCCTCTAACAGGGGGTATGACGACACGGACACGTAAACGGGGGATTTTCGTGGGGTTGGTTCGCACATCCATCGCCTACCTATATGTATAGCTACCTATTGGGGTGCTACGTAGTGACAATGATGTAACGCGAAACCTGCAAAACTTTTCTCATCCCCCTCCCCCTTTCGCCGCTCTTTCTTCTTTCTCTTTTTCGGTTCGCCGTAAACGCAGAGATTCGAGACTTTATTCATATTAACATTGCAATTTTATTACATTTATTTCGATATATTTAGCAAGAAATATTCAATTTTAATATTTAGTTCAAATATTACATACATTTGATAAAAAAATATTTAAGACAACATCTAAACTTTAATTTAAGATACAATATATGCAATAATATATTCGAAAAAGCTTCTTTGATCCTGAGCTTTTTATTTGTACCTTTATTTTAACCGTATCTTTAATTAAAAGTAAAAATAAATAAATAATTTATTAATAAATGCAAATGTGAATAAATAAGATTTTTCAAATAAGATTAAAATGAGGCGGAGATGTGTGTAAGATTGATTTATAATTTATAGCTTTACACAAAACTAAAGAGGTTTTACGCAATTATTAAATAAGCAGCATCAAGAGTATATTACACGCACGATTCGACCATTTGGTGGTCGAATAGTGCCGCGAACAGGGGTGTCTCTCAGTTGAAGAGGAAAAGAAAAGTGTCACCAGAGATGACAAGAGTGAGTGGGACGAAGACGCGTGTTGTGCACAGGACGGAAAAGAGAAGGGTGTTTATAATAATGTCAAGGGGCTGGGAGGGGCAAAAGCGCGTTCCTCGTGTTCAGATGCTCTTTTCAAGAGTGCGAACCCTCCTCGAACGTGCATTCAAGTGTCCGCTGCTTTGTAATGCCTCTTAATACCGCTTCACTGTTGTCGTTATTAAGGATCCGGAACATATTGTCGATACAACGTGCGACGACACCGCACTATGGCGTCAAGCCCTTCATTGGCGGGTATTACACACTGTGGGAGTGTGGGCACGAAATGCGGGATGTGAATTTTCGGCGGAAGTTGGAAAGATGAAGAATGAAACTAGCAGAGAAGATTGGAAAATTATTTTTGTTGAACGCTTGTTTTTAGTTAGTTTTATCTGCCTAATTATTTGAATCTCTTGTCAGCTGAATCTCTTTAATTATTGCATCTATCTAGCTCAAGATTGGATAACTGAGAACACACACAAAACGTACAACGAAAGTAATATTTTATTAAACGCTTTGTTACTTTAATGATTTTCTTTATTTAACTCTAGAATATGTAAAGGGTAATCGATGTAATAAAGTTTTCTCCGGCTATATTTACTTCTCATAGTTTTTAGCTAATGGAAATAAGAATAGAGCGAATAATATTTTCTAATAACATTATTTCTGTTCATCGAGAAT